TTAATGATTTAATCTTTTCTGATTTGTTAATATTGAGTTTTGTTTTGGTTTTTTTTTGGTACATGATAGTCTTAAATATTGTCTAATCAGTATTTAGATAAAGAGGATATTTATCAGGATATTTTATCATAGAACATTAGTGGTCTAATCAGATTTCAAAATATTTATATAAAAGGGAATCCAGATGCAGCTGTAGATTTTGGTTTAACCATTCTATTTAAAAGTAAAGGTCTATACTAGTTTATATTATCATAGATGGTATAGTTGATTTTTATTCTTTATTTTAATTCCTACCTTATTTTTAGTGTCAGTGTTCCACTCTTTTAGTCTCATCCCAAAATATGTACTGTTCTCAATTTTATACCATAAAAGTAGAAAGATTGTATAGCATTGTTAACTCAGAATAGCTATTCTTACGTTTTCTTGATCTCTTTACACAAAGAAATTTATAAGGTAAAGATAAATTTCTATTATGATGAATGTCATGGAAACCCCCAATGTCTTTAATGTCAAAAGTAACATTATTGAAAGTCACAGCCCCACATCCAGGTGCGAGAGACAACAGTGGGGCTGCTGCTGAGACCCCAGTAAATTTTACGTGGTAAGAAGGACCTTGAACCAGAAAAGCTGTGGCAAATGTCCCGTGTATTCCTCTTCTAGTTCCTAAATTTTTATATGTTCCATTTTTATTGATGTCTAACAGTTTTTGAGTTTTGTGTTAAATGAAGGATAAAAGAAGTTAAAAGTTAATTGCTTGACAGTAATGATTATAAGGAAACAGCATTCTAGTTTGCCCTTGATAGATTTATAGTTTACAATTAAGCATATCATTTGAGAGAGTAGCACTGAGACAGAGAAATATTGGTAGGCTTCTTGTGCAAAGTTTTATTAATGTCTTTGTTTCTGGAAAAAAAAAGTTATTTAAATTAATATCATGAGGTCAGCAGAGTAGTTTTATGGCCTGCTTATTTTATTTTATTTTTTTGAATTCCAAATCTAAAAATGGTATTCATTGTAATGGTATTTTCTCTATCCATCAGGTATGAGGAATGCAGAGATTTAAATTTTTTATATTACTTTGTATTTCCTCCTTAGGACCTAACTGAGGAGAGTAAAACCATAGAAACTAGTTGGGGTTGTATTGCTTCTTAATTTTATATTAAACAATATTCTAGGAAAACAGACTTTATATCAGATACACTTCGTTTTCATTATATCCTGCTATCTAAATTTACTGCATTTTATTTGATAGATATTTATATGAGCGAATTGATGGAAGAGTCAGAGGGAATCTCCGACAAGCTGCTATAGATCGCTTTAGTAAACCTGATTCAGATCGATTTGTTTTTCTTCTGTGCACCCGAGCTGGTGGGTTGGGCATCAACTTAACTGCAGCTGACACATGTATAATTTTTGATTCTGATTGGAATCCTCAGAATGACCTTCAGGTAAGTAAATAATTGTTTTGGCTAAGACAATTTATTTTAAAATTCATGTGACTATTTTTGATAATCCACCTCTTATTTTTATCTGGACAGGCTAACATGTATGTATCCCTAAGAAATGGCTGTGCCCAAAGAGCTTCGATTATTTTTATTTTAATTTAAAGACAATAAAATATACTTATTTAGTCATCTCACATCTTAAAAGGTTTACCTGCTTGAGTACAGCATTTAATTGTTTAAAATATGTTATGTCAATTTGAAAGAGACCTAAGCTTTAGAATAACTTATCTATAAAAGATAAAGTTTTTAGAATTTTACTTCCTTAGAAATGTGTTTGCTTATCCTAATTTCAAGTTCTCAATCGTCGTATAATACAGTATGCATAGAAATGAGTCATAATAGAATATGCCTTTTATGATATATTATAAAAAGTTAATATATACATATAAGTTAAGACTGCTTGGACTTCATAGAAACAAAAGAATATTGATTAGAGTGATCAAAGAGAGAGTGCAAAAGAAGCAATGTAGGAAAGATATGACAAGATAAAATATAAGAGAAATTTGTCTTTTATTGCTCATGATAGTCTTAATTGTATTGTAATTAAGATTACTTTAAATAGATATTACACCAAATATAGTAAATTGTTACTGAAATTATACCTGCTTAATAAAAGATAAAGTTGTAACCTTTCATTTGTGTAACAGTGTAATGTAGCTCAAATTATTATCAAAGCTTTATCCAAAATTAATAGATTAAACCAGGGACAAACTCTGTAGAAAGTCAGTTAGTAAATATCGGGGGTGCCAAAAAAAATGTATGCAAGTGGACACTTTGGTCAATGTTGCTCAAACAGTAGTTTGCCGTAATCAAAAGTGTCTGGATGCTGATGGTAACCACTTTGAGCACCTGTTGTAATTGCAGAAGTCAAACGTGACTTGTATTTATCTTTTGTTCTAGGCATATATTGAGTATTACAGTTTTAATTCAGTTTTTCTTTCTTAAAATGTGTATACATTTTTTTGGCACCCTCTGTACTTTTGGTTTTGTAGGCTTCTGTCACACATTTTTTGTTTGTTTGGTTTTACAGTCCTTTAAAAATGTAATAGCCATTCTTAGTTGGCAGGCTATATTTGTCCACAGTTATATTTTGCCAATCCCTAGGCTGAATCCAAATCATAACTAATTATTTTGGAATGGAGATTTATACTTACAACTGCCCACAGTGCATGTGATGTTCTAAAAGTTAATCTAAAATCAAATAATAAAGTCACATTTTATTTTTTTTTTATTATTATTTTTTTTAGCTGAGCTATCCTGCTACCTGTTGGCAGCTCAGCGGCTGCTCAGCTCGGGCTGGACTCGAACCACTGTTGCTCAGAGCTCAAACTCTTGAGCGAGCTCTTAACCAACTG